AATGAATTATCAAATTGGCAACTATTACTCTATTATGGATTTACTATCCCGAATAATCCGTTTGATACTGTTGTCATCGATTTACCTTCCAAAAAAGAGCAAGATACATATGAAATGGAAATGAAAAAGATGATTTTGATGAGTATGGGCGAACAACAATATGGATTCAATATGGAACAGGAGTTCAATATGACAAGTAAACAAATTATTAGTGATGAATTGATGGCATCAATGCGATTACTTGTAATGACAGAACAGGAATTGAATGTAAGTAGAAAAATTGATGTATAAAACTGATGTTCTAACATTTTTTGGGATTATTTTTAAGGATTATGACATATCCAATCTATCAAAGTTATTAACAACTATGGTTAGTATTGAGAATGAAAGAAATGTATTGAGTGAGTTAGAAAATTTATTTGAAGAAATGAAAACAGTCGCTTATACAACGTCATTAGATGATAATGTAAAACGATTAAATGATGAAGATACACGTTTATGTGATGAAGAACGATATAGTCTGATCTATTTAATTGGACAAAAATCAATAATTCACAAAGTATTAATGTCAATTCAGCAAAGAAGATCATTATTAGATCAAAATCAAGAACAAGTCTAATATAATATTTTTATCTGCTTGTCATTATTGAAATAGGATTGTTATAGTTAAATAAATATCTGTGTTTTCTAACTTTACTATATATAGTAAAGTTAGATATATTATACTTGACCAGTATTTTTTTGCAAGTGTTCTGGCCAAACAAGCTGTATTCAAAAGTAATAATGCAGATAACAGCGAGATTAGATCGTTACACAATCAAGTAACTAGTGCTCTTATGTAAGACCAGTGAGACCCATATTTTTGCTTGAATAGAAGCTTTCTTTCTGTCTCATTTTTTCTTGTAAGTATAGCGGATACTCAGTGTACTTCAAGGTGAAGATGGAATCACTTATTCTACATAGAAATTTCATCTTAATAGTTCTCAATTATCATTAAATCCCCTTTTCCAATCTCTCAATATTAAACTATCTTTAATTTAAACATGTTTAAATAATAAACAACGCTGATTGATCTATTTCAATAAAATATATTCAAACTGAAGACAATAGAGCGCTGTTAGACAGGAAAATAAGAAAAACAGCAGAAATAATTGGTAAAAGATTTTTATTTCTCACATTTACTTTCTTCTTTATTTATTATTTTCTACTGATTACAATTATCAGAGACAGGGAGAGATCTATAAAGATCGAGTTCATTACACTTTCAATTCAACTTTCTCAATGCCATTGTATGACAAATAATGTGTTTTTTATTGTCTTTCTGTGTATAAAATAAAGTTCTCCTTTTCTCTAATTTTGTATCTCTTTATTATTTATTTAGGTGGCATCCCCTATGCATGACGTACATATCGGGACGTGTGTTTTGTAACAAACGAGCGCGAAAATCGCCCTCTTTTCAATTCTTAAAAGAACTTAAAAAATAAACAAGTTCATCGTCATTATCATAGTAATCGCTGACAAAATTTATTAAAAACGATCTTATGAAATAAATTTGTTAAGAAATTGGTATATTGATGAAAAACACAAAAATAAGTTCTTCGTTTCTTAAAATACAGATTCGAACTCTTTAAGGGGAGGCAGATTTCCACAAAAGGTACTCTTAAACCTTTTTATATTGTGGAAAATACTTAACTACATATATCCTGAATTGCTTTCGCTGAGAGGCGATAAGTATTCACAGACTTATAAATTAATAACGATAAAATTTTAGGAAAAAATTTAACTGCTGGACCTATATTTAAAAACTTACGAGCGAAGGTTCCCGAGTATCAAATCGCTTTTGACGTAAAACTTAGTGGACAATGGCATTGAGAAAGTTGAATTGAAAGTGTAATGAACTCGATCTTTATAGATCTCTCC